GATACTACTAGAGTCCCCATGTTGTGGATAAAAACACTAAAAAGTTAGAGGGTTTTAATATTCCCAGGGTCTTGTAGCTAGAAAAGGGCAGAGCTGAGGTTTGTGGCTCTGGGACCAGGGCTCTGAACTCCCACACCGCAGTGGCCATGTAGCTTTGAGCATCTAGAGGAAATATCACTTGTGAACATTATGACATTTCACAAATAAACAATCCTTGGGTCTAGCACAGGGAAACACTGGGGCTCAAGGAAAACACCAGGGTCCTCCAGAAAGAACGCACAGTGATGGGAAGTCATGGAAAGGGGGCCGTGTGGAAAGGGGCTTGCCATCCTGTCTTGAGCTGGTGATTGATGAATCTTGCAGGAACTATGGACCTGTGGGATCCTGGGACCAAACACTTCCATACGGGGAATGAAGACAAAGGCTCTTTTTTAGAACACAATGGTTAATCATACTTGAGTGCTTACTGTGTGTCAGGGCCACTCTTAGCCCTTTAAATGCATTCAACCTTCACAGTAAACCATGAAGCAGGGGCTGTTAGCGGTTTTATTACGCAGAAGAGGAAGATGAAGCACAGAAATTTGCAGAGAAAGAGCCCAGCCTTACAACTGGGCGACAGCGGATGCTGGGACTCACGGTTGGGGTCAAGCATTGTAATCCCTCATCTTAACGAAAAGAAGAGCCTCAGAAGTGGAGCAGAGTCGACAGAGGTCTCACTGAGGAGTGAGTAGGTCTGCAGGTCTGTGAAGCCTGGACACCACACCTCCCCCGGGAAGCAGAGAGGATAGGCTTTATTTATTCATCCAAGCTGAGCACCTACTGAGTTCCAGGCACTGGGTGTACAACAGCAAAAAGGTGAAGACTCCTGCCCTCACAGGGCTTCCAGCTGGAGACGAAAAGGTGATAAAGGGATGAAAGACCCACCATATCTGTGAGAACCAATTTAGCATGGTGGAGCCCTTCCCTCCAGCCTGCACTTGCTGCACGATTCCGGGTGGGTGGGGGCCCTGCAGAGAACTGGCTGACACATAAAAATGGCCTTTTGCATTTCTGCTGACATGTCGTCTGTATCTGATGGAGCAACGTCTTCATTATGAAATTAGATGAAAATCCTGATGTACAGACTAATAGATAGCATCCCACGCTCTTCCTCAGGGGCTGAGCAGCAGAAACGGCAAGAACAAGGAACGGAGCCAGAACCTGCCCCCACCCCATCCAATTCCATTTTCATACCCACCTGTCATCTCCACACAAACGTCATTAGCTCGCAGAGGGGAAGGAGTCTCATTGCATTATCAGCCACCACAACAAAAGAGCTTTTTGTACTCAGGCTGCAGTTAAATTATGGAATAACTAGATACATTCAATACAAGAGGCTCCCTGATGGGACAGTGCTCCCTGGGGCCCAGGTTCCTTATCTCCAGTGCAAGTGCGAACGGGCTCTCTGCTTAGGAAGGCTGTACATGGTGCAACTGAAGACCAGAACAGTGGAGTTGATGATAAAACAAGGTATGAGAAAGTGGGGCACGTCACTCTGACTTTGGCGCTGGAAGACCATTGGGTTTGTTCTTTCCCATCCAGGGAGAAAGAAAGTGGATTACTCCCTTGAAGATTAAGTACCTGATTCCCTGCCATTCCTTCAAGAGAATCCTCTCTTCCCCACCAGGGAATCCTCTCTGCCCTGCCAACCAGTACAGTTTCAACTTTGCTGCTCCCTGAGGGCAAGCCAGGCACAAGCAAGGCTCAGTGAAGCCAGTGCCTGAGTTTGGTTCAATCCTGCCCAGTTCACTCTGTCCTGGTTAAATGCTTCCATCCCTGCCACGTATCTGTAATGGTTCACACCATGAAAACCACCAGCTTCTATTTGATAAAACCAAGCCCTCGCACTTTTGCTGGCAATGGAAAGAGAATTCCCACATGGGCAGGAATGGCCACGGACCTCCTGGCTGTCTCTAATTCCTGCAGCTCTATGCTCCTTGATGAACATCTCTGCCCAGGGAGGCTACAGAGGAGACTCTGCCTTGGCTCAGGCCTTACTAAAAGAGCTCTTCCCTGTTCCCTACCTGGGGTGCGGTGGTTTTGCTGGGGCAGCAGATCACTCTTGAGTCCTGGGTTGAGTCACTTTTGCTCATATTCGCCTTCTACCTCTAAAAAGAGACTTTCTAACTGGGTCTGAGGATGTCCCTTGTGTTTATAGAGTAAACTACGTCCACTTGGTGTCTGCTCCCTGGCTAACTCAGCAGGGATTGCTGTATGCTTGCGTCTCGTGTTTCCCAGGTACAGGGTTACACTAGGGAATCAGGCGAGATCCCTGCATCTCAAAGGTGAAAGGGACAAAAGAGCCCAGGGAGCTGGAGGGAGTTTTCCTACAAAGCTCTGACCATTACCCTGGCAAGACGACAGAGCCAAACTTTGCTAACAGATGTTGCTGTACTTTTCAGCAGGGAGGAAGGGACTCTGTGTCTTCATGCATCCCTGAGGAAGGGCTCGCTGGCCTTTAACTGCTCCACTAGGATGATACTAAGACCTCTCATTTACAGAGTGCCCAGAATGAGGAAGGCAAAGGTGGAATGAATGAATGATTCTGACTAAGCCCCGAGACCTGCCGTCTCACTGTCAAAAGTGGTTCAGCCAGAGACACAGACAGGTAGTAGGGGATCCTCCAGTCGACCTCAAATCTCCCTCAGGGGCTGAGCAGCAGAAACTGCAAGAGCAAGGAACAGAGCCACAGCCTGCCCCCCACATCCAATTCCATTTTCATACCCACCTGTCACCTCCCCACAAATGTCATTAGCTCACAGAGGGGAAGGAGCCTCATTGCATTACACAACAAACACGCTTTTTGTTGTAGGTCTCACTAGGTCCGAGGCAAGCCTTGTGTCTATAGAATAAACTCTGTCCGTTTGGTGCCTGCACCCTTGCTAACTCAGCAGGGATTGCTGTTTGCTGTGTCTCCTTCTGTTTCCCAGGGATTCAGGTGAGATCCCTGCCTCTCACCTGTTGTGTGTTAGGCACTGTTCTGTGCACTGTCTCAGTTAATCCTCATAATAATTCCTTCAGTGGGCACCATCATTTTCATTTCACAGCTTGTCTAAGGTCAAACAGCCCCTCAAACCCCCATCAGTCTAACTCGAAAGCCCCTGATGAATACATTCTGGAAAGCCAACGTACAGCATGATGACTGCAGTTGATAACAATGTTTTGTACACTTGAAATGTTCTAAAAGAGTAGATGTAAGTATTTTTATCACACACACCAAAAAGAGGTAACTATGTGATATGATGGATATGTTAATTAGCTTAATTGTGGCAATCACTTCACAATGCATACTTACATCAAAACATCACGTTGTACACCTTGAATATATACAATTTTATTTGTCAATTATATCTCAATAAAGCTGAAGAAAATGAAAAGACTGAGTACCTGGGAACAAAAACAAAACAATAAATCCAGTGAATCCTTATTTCCAGCAAAATGAAACCCAGACTGTCTCGTCAGCCTTGCGGGCTTCCTTCTGGCTTTTCTCCTGCCTTTCTTCAGGCGCGAGCCACTTCTCACTGTTTCTTACCAAACAGGCCATGATCCCTTAAACCTCAGCTTCTTTGTTCTTTCTGTTGTATGCTAGAAATTACCCGATCTCCTTCTCCAGCTGGTAACATCCTACCAATTCTAAAAAACCTATAAACCCATCTCTTCTGCTAAGTGTTCCCAAATCCTTTGATCCTTAGATGGACTCATCTTCAAAATTTCAGACTTGTTAGCTGCCACTCTCTCTGCTCCCATCACGCTGTAGGTGATGTGGATACACATCTGTCTTTTCTATTACGTTATGAGCCACCAGAATGCAAGCACAGGGTCTTCTACTGCACCGTCACCCTTGTATCTAGTTCAGTATTTGCTACACTGCAGTGGCTTATTGGATGATTGTGAGAGCGCTGTTCCAGGAATTTTATATGAACGAGGTATTATTATTGTCATCTCCAGTTTACAGATGAGGAAACCAAGGCAAGAAGAGTATAACTTGCCACATTGACCCCTTTAGCAAGTGAAGGAGCCATGTTTGAAATCTCGGCTTCTGGCTCCAGTGCCTATACGTTCCGTTGCTACTCAAAACTGCTTCCCAGTAAAATATTTGGTTAAAGAATATTTTACGAGGCTGAGGTGGGTGGATCACCTGAGGTCAGGAGTTCGAGACTAGCCTGAACAAAATGGTGAAACCCCGTCTCTACTAAAAATATAAAAATTAGTATATATGGTGGTGGATGCCTGTCGTCTCAGCTACTCAGGAGGCTGAGGCAGGAGAATCACTTGAACCCAGGAGGTGGAGGTCGCAGGAAGCCAAGATCACACCACTGCACTGCAGCCTGGGCGACGGAGCGAGACTCAGTCTCAAAAAGAAAAAAAGAAAAATGAATGAGACCACGGTTACCACCCAGCCTATTTTGGAGAGGCCATCTCACACTGCAGAGAAATGTGTCGTTCATTCCCCTCCAGCGCATGACTCATTTTGACCCATCTGCCAGCCCAGATCTCCTGCCTTAGGAAGTGAGCTTGGCACAGGTGAGGGCTGCTCTCCTTTCCCTTCAGCCCCAGGTTCGGTTTTTCAGGTCAAAGGTCACATTGCAGCATCCCAAGACAGGTCTCTTGTGGTACCTGACTGCCTGCTCTTTCTCCTTCCTCCTTCCACTTCCTTGTCACAGACGCAAAATCTTCACAGCCATCTCTGACGCTACTAACCACAGGCATTCAGGAACAGTCTTGCTCCAAATCCTGCCTCCTATTTTCATATTTCCTGTGGCATTTTATAGAAATAGCAGAACAATTGCTCATCCACAGGGGGTAAAGGGAGCAGGATTTTATATAATTAAATTTCAAAGTGACAAGGTTTTCCAGCCTGTGGGGGAAGTAGAGGGAAGGGGAGATGGGCTGCAGACCTTCGGGGTTTAAAGAAAAGCCTGGTCTTGGCATCGGTGACATAGAATCTAGCTTTATTCCTCTTTTTTACCAGTGACAAGGACTGTGGACATAATTTGTGCCTTCAATGCAGGCTCTCTTTTCATTGAGCTGCAGCAGTACCGAGTGCTAAATGAGTCCCTTGTCAAAGGCTGCCTGGAGTCACCCGCTTCCAAAGGGAGCGTCTGGATTTTAGGAAGCATTGGTAATTTATTTCCATCTCCTGCACCAGTGGAAGAGAGAATAAAATGATGGTTCATCTCCAAAAGGAACATTCTTAACGTGATGAGGGACAGAGATCAGAAACATCTGTCTGTAGCAAGCAGGCTTGGAGTTTCCCCATAAACACAGGTTTCCATGCAAACCAAACAAAGGAACATAAGACACAGGCCAGGCAGATTCCACTTCAGCTCCCACATTGAAATAGGTCTCACAGCCTCCCTCCTTTTAAGGTAAGGGACCAGAGGGCCAGCCTTGGCTCTGAGGCCACACCCAGCCCACACCCCCAGCCAGGCTGGACTCACCCAGCATGCCCGGGTGCACAGCACACCACTCTCCATCCATTTGTTCCTTGGATGTGTGCTAAGCAAAACATAATTACCCACTTTGTCATATCGCATGTGGCTTTGACGGCCCAGTGTGTGGGCTCCTCAAGGGAAAGCAATGTTCCTTTTGGGGTTTGTTTCAGGACTTCGACAAGGTTCTAAACAACAGACTCAGCGGAGCCTGGTTGCCTAGTAAGGAGCAGCGACTTTGTCCCCACTGCCTAGCACTTACAAATGGAGAGAAAGGAGAGAATAAGAACAACAGAGTGGGAGGCGCAAAGAGAGGCACATCCGAGGTTTTCATGAAGGTGGGGGGAGGAAAGGAAGGAAACCAGGAGGCACAGAGCACTGTGGCGCACCTCTTTTGCATGATAAATTGTTTCCAAAAAGATGGATGTCTCTGCAGGAACCCTCTCCCTCCACCTTCAGAAACTTCCTACTTAGGCATGCATTTAGCTCCTTTCCCAAATCCCTTGTATTCAAAGTCTCATTTCTCTTGTTCACTGAGACTCCTCCTTCTCAGCATACCCAAAGCTCATCTATCCAGCAGTGCCCTCCTCCCTGACCCAATTCTCTGCTCCAGAGGAAGGTACCTGGCTACTTTAAGATAGCACACACACATGCGCAGCACACATATTCTCTCTCTCTCTCTCTCACACACACACACGCATACACACACACACATCCATGACAGCCCTGACTCTCTGAGCCTTCCCATCTTTGTAGAGACACAAACCATACCTCCTGGAAACAGAGCCTTTTCAACACATTCTGAATCTCCAAATGCTGCTAGGGCTCAGGCTGTGAGTTTCCTTAAATGTGAAGTCTGCTCATGACTGCAATTAATTGGCATTGCTGTGCTAATGGTAAGGCAGCCTCCTGTAATAACCAAGAGCCGCCTGCTGAGTGCAGGGGGAGACAGTAGTGGGAGCTGAGCCCTCTGCGTTGTTTACAGTAAAGGAGACAAGGAAACCCATAAGCATTCTCCTTTTTTGTCAGACAAAGTTTCACAATTGGTTGGTATTAGCAATTTTCAACCATCTTTTATTAGTGCTAGGTTGATTTTCTGTTGTTGTTTTTTTTTATGTATAAAAGCAGAATTCTCCGAAGAACTTTCGTCCCTGGACGGTTGATTAAAAATAACACCACTACCCAGTTGCTTATCAAGAAGCTCGGAATGAGCTTCTCGTGAAAAGCCCTTTAGATGGGAACGGATACTGTGTGTGGCTTACCGTGTGCTGCTGATGGTGCCACCTGAATGCATGCTACGTGGGATGGTTATCTCTGGGATGAGTCTGTGTCTCTGGCTGAACCACTTTTGACAGTGGGATGGCAGGTCTCAGGGATTTGTCGGAATCATTGATTCATTCAACCTTTTCTGTCTTCATTCTGGCCAAGCGCTTTCCTGATTTCAGGGTGGAAGTGAATTCCAGCTCTCCTCTAGCCTAGCCGTGTGAATCTGTCTAAACTGTGTCAGCTCTCTAGGGCTCATTCCCTCATGTACAACACAGGTACGTTGATTGAGATGACTTCTATGAGTCTTTTCGTCTATCAAGTAAATTGATCTAGTAAAAAGACAAAGGTCTTAGAAGCAAGCTAATCTCTTGTAAGGAAGATACCATATGTTGACACCCAACTATAACAGAAGGCAATGTGTTCAGCATGCTGTAGGAGATATAAAACATTCCAGGCATTCAGAAGAGAGAGATCCCTACTCACTGGGGTGACCAAAAGACAGGGCTCCATGGAAGGAAGGGTCGGTTGAAGTGTGTCTTGAGGTGGTGAATAGTGTTGATTGATAGAGATAGAGATGGGGTGTCAGACACGGTGGACTACAAGTTGGGGGAAGCACTTGGGAAGATGCTGTCCAGGAGGACAGGGAATCTAAATGGGGTGGTAATTTGACTCCCAAAGAAAGGGCCCTTTTCAAAAAGAAGAAGAGCGTTTCACGGGACCACGTGTTGCCAAGAGATCAAGGAATCTAGCCATGGCATCTTGAACAGGCAGCTCTCCAGAGGGACAGCAGGCCTCTGGTTCCCCGAGGACCCTGCCCACTCCACCAACCGCCACTGGAAAGCACCCCTCAGGGCTCTCTGTGGTGGGAGCTGTGTCACTGCGTCTTGAGCCTGGCAGTGTCTATAATTCTCATGTGTTGTTCTGTGGACGACGAACGCCGCCCTTTCCGATATTCAGGAGCGAGGTAAACGGCAGGCCTGTTACACCGCTCAGACATTGTGGACTCTCTTTCCGATATTCAGGAGCGAGGTAAACGGCAGGCCTGTTACACTGCTCAGACATTGTGGACTTTCTTTCTTACTCTTCTATATGTCACATTTTTTCACTGGGCCTACTTCTTGACAATGGTTCTGGTTCTCATTCATCTGCTCCTGAATCATAGTTTTCCTTTTGCCCTTTAGAAAGTATCGAGATTATCCTATCTAAATACTATTCACTGTCTCAAATGAGCCACAGCCTAGGGAGTATTTCTCAAGGAGGGAGGGTAGCTTCCTGTATTTATTAAGATACAGCCCAGTAAAATAAACTGATTTAGGCCGGGCGCGGTGGCTCACGCCTGTAGTCCCAGCACTTTGGGAGGCCGAGGCGGGTGGATCATGAGGTCAAGAGCTCGAGACCATCCTGGTCAACATGGTGAAACGCCATCTCTACTAAAAATACAAAAAATCAGCTGGGCATGGTGGCGCGTGCCTGTAATCCCAGCTACTCAGGAGGCTGAGGCAGGAGAATTGCCTGAACCCAGGAGGCGGAGGTTGCGGTGAGCCGAGATCGTGCCATTGCACTCCAGCCTGGGCAACAAGAGTGAAACTCCGTCTCAAAAAATAATAATAATAAAATAAATAAATAAACTGATTTGGAGTTAGAAGACTAAATTTGAAACCAAGGCCTTCCACATTTCGCTATGGGAACTATGTCAGCTCCTCCTCTCCTTCTTCCTCCCCTCTTCATCCTCTTCCTCCTCTTCCTCTTCCTCCCCTTCCTCCTCCTTCTCCTTCTTCCCACTTAAAGCTTGGTTCACTCATCTGTCAAATGGGGACATGGTTCTACTAGACAGGGTAGCTGGGTGAGAATTACCATTACATAAGTATAATTTATTCTGCAAATCTAACATTTTCATATCAATTATGGTCATTGTAACTGTGCAAAGAGAGATAATCTTTCTCATTCTCACAAGTTTATCAACCACGTCATAAACAAAGTAATGCATGTGAATTACAATTGTGTAGACATATTGCATAACTCCTCTCAGCTGTGTGTACTTTCTTTTGTTGTCAGGAAGCCCTGGCTGATTTCTAACTTAAGTAGGGCATGCAATGCTTCGTCTTTCTCTGTGTATGTTCCACTGGATGTGGGATGCTCCCCATGCCTCTAATGAGCATTTGCCTGTGTCTGGCATTGTGCGGGACAGCCACGTGCTGCCCTCTTGTGAACAGTCTTGAGGGTGGAGGGAATTTAAGGACTCTACTGCATCCAAGCTCAGCATGTTCCCCTGTCAAGAGGCAGGTGACACTGTGAACTGGGCAAGAGGGGTAGCCAGAGCTTTGACCTTGCTGAGGCCAGCCCAGCACTCCCAAGGAGCCAGCGCTCCTCCTGAGAAGAAGCCACAGTGAAGCAGGACATCTCAATGCAGGAGGCCCACAGCGGGCCACCTCAACAGTTGCGTTTCCAGACAGAAAGCTCTTCTGTTACCTGCTGTTCTTGCCTGGGAACAGCCTTGGCATAGCCTTTCTCTCCCCTAGGGCAGAGCCTGAGTGTTACTTGTGGAGCCAACAAGTCACTTGGGACCTTTGAGCTCTTGTTGGGGGATTCTACCTTGTCTGGAAGGACAGAAGGAGGAAGAAAAATCAAGAACTTCATAGGAGAACAGCATATTCAACCCAAGCAAAGTATGTGGACATTGTGGTCTGGATTATCTGTAGGGATTGTTATTAGGGCTAGAACTTTAAAATGTGCACTAGTTTATCAATTACTTGGGTGCTCAATTGTTCAGGTGAAGGCCCTTTGAAATTGCAGCATTGCTGCCCTGAAATATATTTGAAAGTGAAAATGTAGGAGGGGCAGAGGAGGAGCCAGAAGCCCACTCATGCAAATACAGGGATATAAATGACTCAGTTTCCTCCTTCGTAAAGAAGAAAATGATTTGGAGTTGCTTTGTTGGCAGGTTAGCTAATGAGGGGGTGTTGTGTTAATTAACGTTGCAAAGAATTGTGAAAGCATAAAACTTTAGAAGTACCCTAATGTTTCTAGGAGTATTATTCTTGGTGTATTAACAGGCTGGGTCTGCCAATGTCTATGAGAGTGAGGAAATAAGGGAAAGCTGGCGCAGAAGGCAGAAGACATGTGGACACAGCAGTACCAGCATAGGGCCGAGTGAAGGAATCTCAAAGTACCATCCTCAGAGCGTTAAAATATCTTTCCCCCAAGGAAATGGAAATGCAATACTTGGGATGTTTTTGGTTACAAGTAATCAAGCCCCTTACAGTAGATGCTTAAAAAGTAAGGGCATCAAGGAAGCCTGGAGGTGGGGTGTCCCCACGCTCAGCAATGGCCTCCAAAACCCAGGACCTCAGACTTGGTCTCCATCATGCTCCCCACATGAGATCTGCATGTCATCAGTGGAAGGAGGGTGGCGACCTTTCTCCATCTCTCACACCATCACCCAACCATGATCTAAGATAATAACGAAGTGGACCCAGAGGAGGGCATGTGTTTTTTTTGACGAGGGAGAAGCATATAGTCCTTCTACTCTGTAAAGTGACCTGCGTAGCTACAAGAGAGACAGAAAGGTGAATATCTGGCATTTTTAGCTTCTGTTGTGGGAGGCAGGCTTTGGCAGTAGGAAAGAAGGAAGGGGAGAGAAAGGCATTTTATAAAGAAGTCAGAACAGAATACCTCTGTGAACAACGGACTTCTAGATAAAGATCTGATGTTGTCAGAAAATACTCTGTGAGCACTGGGGGCAATTGTGCCGCTTCTCTTCAACCGCCAGCCACGTGCTCGCCTAATTAGAGACACAAACCAGCTGCTTGGCTGTCCTCTCCTCTCTGTGTGTTCAGGCTGGGTCTATAAAGTTTTGGGTTAAAGCCACTTTCTCCCACATGTGGGTCATCCCCACCAACAGATTCACCCTGGATATGCATATGGAGTCCGCACTGTGACCCGTCCATATAAGAAAATAAGAGAGTAAAGATGTGGAGAGATTTACTAGCTCTGCAAAACTGGATGTGGTAAACCATGTGTATTGAAGCTCTGAAAGCCTGTACTGAGCTTCTGCTTGGGGCCTGACAGACATGGAGGCAGTTCTACTGAAACGCCAGGCAGAGGGCCTAATGAGAAATCGGTCAGATGCGCCGTGACACTGCCTAACCCACAGCCTTCCATCTGCTTGCACCCTTCGCTTCCAAACAGAGCCCCGGTTGTGTTTGTTCAGTGACCAACTGGCTGTCCATCCCCTCACCTCCTCCAGATTGCAAACCAGCAGCAGCAGAGATCCCTCCCTATCAGACCAGAGCAGCACGGGAAGGTTGTTCATCCTCCTCCCTCTTTCCTGATGCATTTTTCATCATTAAAGGGAAAATGTCATTTTGGTGACAGATATTAGTATGATTGGTGTCAGGAATGAATCTTCCTTTCTCTGTCAGCCTTGCTTCGCACAATCCTAAGACAATGTTCTGTTAAAAGGCCACTTCCATTTCCAACTCCAGCAGTGTGCGAGAGAGGTGGGCTTCGCTGTGATGGATGGGTCCGTCAAGGCTGGCGCTGTGCCAAGGGGTGCAGCTGAAGCTCGACCCTTGAACACCGGGCAAGCCTGGAGAAGCTTCTGGGAAGCTCAAGTCTTATTTCTGGCGGTATTCTGCTGAGAATATATCTTAAAAAGAGAAAACTCGCAGCTCTATTCAGTGATTAGGTTTTAAGAGGTAGAAGATTTGCCATCATCACTGATATATGGAGTCCCATAAATCCAAACCCGTTTATTGGAAAGCTGATCTGGAAATGAAGATTTTTATTTTCTGGTACCAAAAATGTAGGTTAACCTCTCTAGATCTTTCCCAGGTGCAGACCTGGACCCTGCATGGACTGGAAGTAACCATACATTTCACTCCTTTAGCGTGCCTCATCTGACACTCTGCATACAACCTGTCAGGACCCATTTACATACAACTCAGCTTTTTCATGCATGAAATAAAGATAGTAGTACCCAGACTATCTTTCTGAATCACTGAGAGATCATTTCATTTCAAAGAATATTTCTTAACTGACCCTCAGGGTCATATACTTTGCTCAGCTTTGGGCAGTTACAAAAATGAACCAGAAATGGCACCTGCCTTCAGAGAGCTTACAACCTAACTGGTGAGATCAGACAAATCTACAGTCAGTTACAATGCAGATACACATACACACATTTACAGAGTTCTATATTGTGAAATATATATACATTTCCTTTAAAATAACTGATTTCAACCAATAGAAAAGAGAGGCATGGGAAGCATTGGTTAAACTAGTGTTTCATGGAGGAAATGGAATCTGAACTGGTTCTTGAAGCCTGAATAAGATTTAGAAGGCTGTGGATGGAAGGAGGGCACATTGGCAGAGCAAAAGTCTGAGCATATACATAGTTTGTGATATGCAGAGCAACTTTCCAAGAAGAATGAGTAATTTAACTTGATTGGGTCCTAGAATGTTAGGTGAGTGCAGAGATGGGGCCACAACAAAGACTAACGCTACTTAACTTGGGATACTTCTTGATTTTCGATATTAAGAGTTGGGTCTTTATGTCATAGGCAGGGGGAGCCCCTGAAACTTCCTAAATAGATGAAGGACATTATCAGATCCCTGCATGAAAAAGATGAAGCTGGCTTCTGTGTGTGAAATGCTGTTGATCTGCTATTATTAACTTTTTCTAACATAAAAATCATTTAAAGTATTTTATATTACCCTCATTATTGTGCAGAAAATAAGTTCATAGATAACATATAATGCCTATACACATACTTCAAAAAAATGAACTATATAAAGCCTGACTGAATCTGAAGGAGAAATAAATAGAAAATGATTGATAATAATATAAATGTAAAATAAATGTTTGGATACAACTACACCATAGGATATAATGAAGTATGGATGTGTCTATATACAGAATCACCATGAATGTGACAGCTAAGCTGCAGTACAGACTCACACGAGGATGTAGAATTAATTGATGAC